ATTATGTACATGATCTACATTATTCGGACTATTGTCCTCATCTTTGTCGCCATATTTATCACAACGTTTCGGCCGTTGTACGCTCCGGCCTTCTTCAGGTGGTTGGAATGTCGAACTGAACCCTTTATTTCGCTCACTGGGGTAGACCTTTCTAGTTCCACGTGGCATGTTTAATGGATGTCAATTATTAGTTATCTCCTGTTAATTTCTCTCTGAAAGTTCTCCACTGCCTTAAGCGGATATTGAACTCACACTCTTTGGATCCTGTCGTTGGATCTAACCAACGCCTTTATCGACTGTGCCATGTGTCTTTGAGGACGCATGGAACTAGAACAGTCTCCCCCAGTGAGCGAATTAAAGGGTTCAGTTCGACATTCCAACCACCTGAAGAAGACCGGAGCGTACAACAGCCGAAACGTTGTAATAAATATGGCGACAAGGATGAGGACCATAGTCAGAATAATGTAAATAAAGGACAGGTTGTGTTATCGAAAATTGGAATGAGCGAGCCTAATTCAAATTCCGAGCTAATCGTTTGTGTTTCATTTCGCTCAAATGACCTTGAGTAAAACATGAATCCTTATTTTCTTCCCCAGTTAAATAGTAGGAACAACTGTGCTGTTACGCCTTCATTGGAGACTAGTTTACGGGAAGGAAAATTCTGAATTCCAAACCAAGTCAATAGAGAAACACTATTCTTTAATTTCAAAGAATAAATTGTACTTCAGAGATAAACAAAAAAGTAAGTGTGGAGAGGTGTGATCACCTAAGTGTTGAATCGTTTTGGATGTCTTTTAACGTGTATGCCTTTTTAAAGAAAGCAAACACTTCGGTTTTTGTCACAATGTTTCCTGGTGTTGTTAACCTATAAACTACGTGCCACAAAATCCCGAAGTGACCCTCCGCAGGATTTGAATTCAGAGTTGTCCTTCTTCTAGAGAAGGAGGATAATTCTGAAGGTTTTGTGAAGGCTTTGGGCAAAACTATCCACACTTTGCTGAAGGGCCGAATACAGAGACCTGGTGTCCTACGTGCCACAAGGTCACCAATCGACCCTCCACAGGTTTTGTCTTTCTGGGCAGTTGCTATCCAAGGCTGTAGAACCTGCTATTTTCCCATAGCTGAATACCTTTCCCAAGGATATTAGCACGTAAGTGAATGTAATCGATTCGACTAGAGTTCGAACTCGGCTCTCGGACTCATCAATCCGAGCTGCTATCCACTATTCCACCGTGTCTCTCTGACCCCCTCCCTCCCTCTCTCTCTCTCTCTCTCTCTCTCTATATATATATATAAAACAATTGTAAATAGGGATATGGCATCATATATATATATATATATATATATATATATATATATATATAGAGAGAGAGAGAGAAGGTATGATCCAAATAAATAAAAATCTTGAAGAAGAGAAAATTTTAATACCGGTCTGTGGAAAGCACAATAAGAAACCAATCTATTAGGACGTAAGTGAATGTAATCGATTCGACTTGAGTTCGAACTGGCTCTCAGACTCATCAATCCGAGCTGCTATCCACTCTTCCACCGTGTCTCTCCGCCTCTCTCTCTCTCTCTCTCTCTCTCTCTATATATATATATATATATATATATATATATATATATATATATATATATATATATATATATATATATATATAAAACAACTATAAATAGGGATATGGCATCATATGTATGTATGTATGTATATATATATATATATATATATATAGATAGATAGATAGATATAGGTATGATCCAAATAAATAAAAATCTTGAAGAAGAGAAAATTTTAATACCGGACTGTGGAAAGCACAATAGGAAACCACTCCATTATCTATCCCAAGATAATAAAGGGAACTGAAGGTGTGGAGAGTCACAAATATTTGCTCTCTGAAGGGCCAAGATATTAAATAACGATGACGAAAGTAAAAAAAAAAAACTTCAGATAACAAAATCTCTGAATTCAAAATTGTGGAGGAAACAACAGGTTACTACTTCTTTATCTTTCCCAAGAATCCATAGTAATCCACAGATAATAAAGAGAACGGAAACTGTGGAGAGTCGTGATCGTCTTCACTCATAAGGGCTATGCCATTAAAATATATATATATATATATATATATATATATATATATATATATATATAACAATGACCAAAATAGATAAAATCTCAAATAAGTAAAACTGGTGAAAGCAACGGGAAACCACTCCACTATCTTTCCCAAGAATGCAAAGCCATTCACAGATAATAAAAAGGGAATGTTTGGTGGGCTATAATCGCCTACATTCTGATGGACATCTTATTTAAACTCTTTATAAACCATTTTGACTTTATCTCGTTATGTTTTAATTTAAAGGTAAAAATTAAATACAATATCTGAGTCGGATTTCTAAAACAACTATAACATATATCCGTGATTATTATTGTTTGAAGCGAACGCATAAGAAGTTGAATAATTTTGCGATAATTTAAAATATTTTACAATCCGATAAAATTGAAGGGATTCTTTTTTTTTTCTTTTTAATTTTTACTTTCGATAAAAATGTGTTTCTAAGCGATGAAAGGAAATAAATTTAAAATTCGGGGAAACTTTGGTGCATCTAGCTAATATCGTTAAATGAAATATTCTAAAATTCGATTTACAAACATTCCATATTCCGTTCGATGTTCGACTTGTCATGTCGAGCTAAATAGATTTCAGCCGGTTCGTATGCGCATGCTCGCTCGACGCAATGTTACCACGTTTCAACAAAAATAACTCTGTCGACGCAGGATGGCGATTGAAACAACGAAATTTACGAATAAACAAACAAATGGACGGATAAATAAATCCGTGGTTGGAGAGAGTGAGGTGAACCTCTACAGCTCTACCCACAATCAAGTTAGTATGTCTTTCGTGAGAGACACCGAATGAAGATAAGGGACGATCTGATATATAACTGACGCCGCCGCCATCAAGAATTTTTTTTTTTTTTTGTCTTTTTCTCGTCACTGTTCTGATTTGATGTCCCTCTTTCTCTCGATACAAGAATAGTGGAGCTGAATTACCTAACAGGGAACACAGATAAATGAATTAAAGTAGATATCAAAAAATAAAACAATGAAAAAAAAAGGGCAAATAAAATAAGATATAGAAAGATAAATCTTGTAAAATTGACTTTCTCTCTCTCTTTCTCTCTTTCTCTCTCTCTCTCTCTCTCTCTCACCTGTCCTTTTTCTCTCTTTCTTTCTCTTTCCTTTTCCTCTCTTTTTCTACCTCTCCCTTCCTGCGTATGTTCTAAATCATTACAGTCATTTCCTTGCTTTGTATATCTTTCCCTTCTCTCTATTTTTTTTTCTTTTACACCCTTTTTTCTTTCTCGGTCCTCAATCTTCTCCCTTTTTTTTTTCTCTCTCCACAGATATCTGCTTTTGTCCACCACATTGTTAAAACCTGATAACATTTTTACACCTCGCCTCTTCTTCGCCCCTCTCAATCTATCTTTCTTTAATTTTCATTGTATTTTTACCTCCTCCTTTTCCTCTCTCTCTCTCTCTCTCTCTCTCTCTCTCTCTCAGATTCATAATATTTTACCTCCGCCGTTTCTCTCACACTCTCTCATAGTAACTGACGTCTTCCTTTTCTTCTCCGTCTTTCTCAGATTCATTTTACATTCCTCTTTTATTCTCTCTCTCTCTTCTTTTCATAATGTTTTACCTCCTCCTTTACTCCTCTCTCTCTCTCACATTCATATTATTTTACCTCCTCCTTTACTCCTCTCTCTCACTTTCGTAGTATTTACTTCTTCCTTTCTTGTCTCTTCTCACAGATTCATAGTATTTTACATTCTCCGTTTCTCTCTCTCCCACTCACTTTCATAGTATTTGACTTCCTCCTTTTCTTTCTAGTCATTCTCTCTCGAATTCATAGTATTTTGCATCCTCATCTTCTCTCTCTCTCTCTCTCCCTAACACTTTCATAGTAGTTTCCTTTTCCTTTTCTGCTCTCTCTCTCTCTCTCTCTCTCACTTTTATAGCATCTACCACATTTTCTCCCTCTCGCTTTCTCTTATTCATCTTACTTTCATTTACCGTCACCCTTTCTTTTCTCTCTCTCTCTCTCACTTTCATAGTATTTAAACGCCTCCCTTTCTTACCCTCTCTCTCCTTTTCTCTTTCACGTTTTTACAAGCCAATAATTTTCCTTCTCGCTTTCTTTTTTTTTCTAATGAATTTCTCTTTGTTCCTCATTATTTCCCACATCATCTCAACCATACTTTGTTTCACTCTTTTCAAAGTATTCCTTTCCTTTCTAACTTTTCTCCTTTTTTCCCTTTTATTCATCTTTTACATCTCTCTATTCTTTTCTTTCTTTTCTTCCTTTGCTTGTTCATTTTTGTTTTCTTCTTTCTTTCTTTCTTTGTTAGTTTTTCTTTCTCTTTGTTCGTTTTGTCTATTTTCCTAGTGTCGTTTTTTCTTTCTTTCATTCTTTCTTTCTTTTTTTCTTTCTTTCATTCAGTCTTTCTTTCTTTTTTTCTTTCTTTCATTCAGTCTTTCTTTCTTTTTTTCTTTCTTTCATTCAGTCTTTCTTTCTTTTTTTCTTTCTTTCATTCAGTCTTTCTTTCTTTTTTTCTTTCTTTCATTCAGTCTTTCTTTCTTTTTTCTTTCTTTCATTCAGTCTTTCTTTCTTTTTTTCTTTCTTTCATTCTTTCTTTCTTTTGTTTTTGAATTTCGTTTTTATTACTTTACTTTGTCGTTCTTTCTTTTTTCATTCTTTCTTCATTTCTTCTTTCTTTAGTTCGTTCATTCCCCTTTTCTCTCTCTTTTTATTCGTAATTTCTTTTCCTATATTTCCTTTGTATTTCTTTTTTTTATCAATTCGCTTTTCCTTATATATCCTTTCTTTTTCCAATTTATTTTATTCTTTCCTTCCTTTCTTTTTCATTTCTTTAATTTCTTTCCCTCCATTCTCTTAAAAAAAAAACCTTTTATATTTCCATCATTACATCTTTATTTTATGTCTCTCTTATATTTCAATTTTTTTCCTTTCCATCCACGTCACAAATTATTTTTTCTTTTTGATTTAATATTTCATTTCTTTCTTTCTTTCTTTCTTTCTTTCTTTCTTTCTTTCTTTCTTTCTTTCTTTCGTTCGTTCGTTCTTTCTTTGTCCTGTCTATTACTATTTTTTCTTATTCTATGTATTTTTTAAAAAAAATTTATCTACATTTTTATTTTATTAATTCGTCTCTTTTTCTCACTTTGTTTTATTCTTTCTCTTTTTATCCATAGCGTATCCTTTTCTCCTCGTTTATTCGCAGCTTTTTCTTTCTTTCTTTCTTTCTTTCTTTTTCTTTTCTTCCTTTCTGTTCATCAGTATCTCTTTTTGTTTTTGCATTATTCTATATTTATTTATTTTTATTCTTTCGTTCCTTTTTCTCTTAATATTTCTTCTTTTTCCACGGATTACGTACCTTTTTTCCTACCTTTATCTTCAAAGCTTTTCTTTCTTTCTTTCTTTCTTTCTTTCTTTCACTCTCTCTTCTGACATTTTCTTTCTTTCTTCCAACACTTTCTTTCTTTCTTTCTTTCTTTCTTTCTTTCAGCCATTTGTTTATTCATTTTTATCAATCTGGATTTTTTCTTTCTTTCTTTGTTATTGTCATTCGTGTATTCATTTCTTTTCAAGCTGGAAACATTCCTTCCTTCCTTCCTTCCTTCCTTCCTTCCTTCCTTCCTTCCTTCCTTCCTTCCTTCCTTCTTTCTTTCTTTCTTTCTTTCTTTCTTTCATTTCTTCAGTATCTCTTTTTTTTCATTCCTCTATATTTATTTGTTTTTATTCTTCCGTTTCTTTCTCTCTTATTCTTTCTTCTTTTTTTTTCAGTGACTACTTTTCCCTTACCGTTATCTTCAAAGCTTTTCTTTTTCCTTCCTTCCTTCCTTCCTTCCTTCCTTCCTTCCTTCCTTCCTTCCTTCCTTCCTTCCTTCCTTCCTTTTTTCTTTCGTTCTTTTTCCTTATTTCTTTTTATTTTGCTATCCTTTTTATATTCCTGTGTATCATTTACTTTATCCCTTTGTCTCCTATTTGTGTCTTTGTTTTATTTTTTCTCTTTTTCTTTCTCTACGTCATATTTCTTTTCCCACTCTTCCATCTTCTTATCTTTCATTCATTCTTTCTCTGATGTTTTTCCTATATCTTTCTTTCTCCATTTTTTTCTTTTTCTGTCCACAACCTTAGAATATTTTTGAATTATATTTTTATTTATTCCCAAACACGATTATTTCTAAAGAGGATTAATAAGATAACGAAGCCCTGTATCTGGTTTAGCAAAGATCCTATCAAAATGTCTCACGGCTACAAGTGAAGACTTACAACGTCTAAAGAACTTAAGAACCAGGCTTGTGTTGCTTTCCGTTCTCAACAATTGCAGGAATGTGAAAAGTGTGTCGTCAAATGAGCCTAGATATCTCTATCCAATTTTCGGATGCTCACAAGTTGCAGCAACACCATTCCGTTCCACCGCTGACAAAAGATAGGAGAATTTTCTCCAAGAAATTAATGTGCCTACAATTCACAACAACATTCCTATCGTCTCATATTCTGCAAATGATAAACGTTGTGCATAAGTAATAAAAGTAAAAAAAAAAAGATTTACTTTTTATATAAAATAAATATATATATATATATATATATATATATATATATATATATATATATATATATATGGATATATATATATTAAAGTGTAGGAGAACGAACAGTAGGATTACAGTGTTCAAAACATTAATTTAAAAATAGTGCTCAATACACAAAATAGAGCCGTAGATATTTATTTATCTTATGCAGTGTTACATTAAAACATGCACATATCGACTACAAAATTGTACATTTTGTTCCATCGTCAAAAAGGGAAAACTTTTTGACGTCTCATCAGATGGGGAATTATCATCATGTAACACTGCATATATATATATATATATATATATATATATATATATATATATATATATATATATGTGTGTGTGTGTGTGTGTGTGTGTGTATATATGTATGTATGTGTGTGTGTGTGTGTGTGTGCCGGAATTTTAAAAAAAAACAAATTTTGGGAAAATAATTGCAAAAATCGAGATTGGATCAATTCAATTGCCTGCGACTGTAATTGTTTAGTTTCCTACTATAAAGAATGTTAAGATCCAAGTGCCAATGTGGTAGAGAATAGGTAATGTCAGTAGGCAGCGATAAGAAAACTCAATTTCTATTCTGGGTTCAAATACGATGGCGAACCCAATACCACTGTGAGTGCTTCATTCGTTCTTTTTAGAAATTGTTGTATTCTTGTAGGCGTAATAAGTAGAAACGATGTACGTTCCGTTATATTTGTTTCACACCCACCTGATTAGAGGCAGTAACATAACCAGAACAATGATAAGATTTTCAGTAATGATGCTGTAGGAAATTCTGTCGTCCAGGTTTGTTTAAAAATTTGAAGGTACGAATTCGAAATAAACATGGTTTCATGCCTGTTTGTATTTACAAAATATATATACATGAATTCAAAAGAGTCAAAAAGTAGTAAAAATAGGCTTTATTTGAGTTAAACTCCTTGGGTTGTTGCTTCACAGAAAAATCTATAGTTTAGTTAAGATATTGATCATCAGCAAAAATTCACTGACCGTCCGATCTCTTGTTGTTGGAGATGATTCGTTTAAAGTTTTTTCCAGTATGCCCTGAGAAGAAGGTAAAAGCTATGTACCTATGTTTCCTCCTGTATTTTACTGGATTGAAGCCAGTTGCATCTCTGTAGCTGAAAGTCGAAATCTGTGTTTTCATAAGAATTTGTCCCGAAAGAAGGCTCAAGAAAAATAGTATTTATTTTTTTCTGATTGGTCAAATATTTCACATGATATTAATTTCTAACCAATGGACACTTTAATTCTTAAATAATTATGATTTTAAGATATCCTTTTTAAGTTCCAGAGCGTAACTTTTGTGATAATTTGTTTCAAGTTACGGTGTCACACACCAGCTACAAAGAAACTTAGTGATTTCTAGTTTGCCCAAATGATTTAAAGTTATGATATTGATTCCCTGGGGGTGCCAAGATTATATATACAGAGTGCGGCAGAAATACTGTCCGAAATTCAGTCGTCCAGGTTTCTTAAGGAAAAACTTTATCCACTGTGCACAGTGGATAAAGGCGCTGGTTAGATCCAGTGACAGGACCCAAAGAGTGTGAGTTCAATACCTGGTTAAGACAGTGGAGAACTTGGAGAGGTGAATTAACAGGATATAACTGATAACTGACATTCATTAGACATGGCACGTGGAACTAGAGGAGTCTACCCCAGCGAGCGAAATAAAGGGTTCAGTTCGACATTCCAATCGAATGAAGAAGGCCGGAGTGTATAACGACCGAAACGTTGTGATAAATATGGCAACAAAGATAAGCATAATAGTCCGAATAATGAAATAGTGTACATAATTCCTCATCTCATAAATATAGACAGATACTGAAGAAGGCCGGAGCGTGCAACGACCGAAACGTTGTGATAAATATGGCAACAAGATAAGGATAATAATCCGAATAATGTAAATAGTGCACATAATACCTAATCTCAGGAATATAGACAAAAACAGGGGTTTTTTTTATATTCAAATATCCGAACGTTTCGAATTCCAAACAATAATAAAATAAAAATAAAGAAAAACTGGTTATGCCTGTCAAATAAATCATTTGTATTTAGAAACATTTGTACATGAATTCAAAAGTACCAAAAAGGATTAAAAGTAGTTTTAGTTGGGTTAAATTCAATCTGATGTTTAGAAAAAATTACTTTTAAATAGTTGGTTCACAAAAAAAAAACTCTGTTGTTGAGGAAAGACTTTTATCGTTCTCAACGATTTACTGTCCGTCTTTGTTGTTTTTGTTATTGGGGATGGTTGGTTTGAAATCGTCGACTAGCCGTCCATGTTGTTGGGAGATGCTTCGTCTACACTCGCAGACACATTTTTTTTTTCCGTACGCGCTGGAGAGAAAGAAATAGCTATGTAACCACGTCTTTGAACGGCTTGGAGGCAACCTCGTCCCTGCCCAATTGAAAGTCGAAATCTATGGGTTTTTATAAAGAATCTTTTCGCGAAAGTACGCTCAAGAAAAGTATGGTTTTAGTTTTATCTGATTGGTCAAATATTTCACATGTTAATTTTTAACCAATAGGCACTTTGATTTGATCGGTGTATGTTGTATTGTGGATTTCTTTTTGACAAGTTTCTAAATATTGTCTTGTAGAATATAAAGTCGGCTCGTGTTTTAATATATATAATGTACCTTTTGCGAATAGGCTTTATTTCCTACAATTCAATGAGCAAAGACCAAATAAAATTTTTATACATACGTTACAAACTTGGAGAAAACATTGTTGAAAGCGATTTACGTTTTTTTTTTTTTTTAATCTAGCATTTTATCATCACCGATTGGATACTGAGTTTTCTCCTGTCACAATTTCTGCGAGACTCCTTGAGTCATTTTGGACTCAAGTTCACCTCAGACTTCAAATGGAACTCATATATATGATCCATTTCGAAAAATCACCAGAAAAATTGGCGGTTCCTTGTAGCGTTTTAGAAATTACCCGATTTACCCTGCCATGCTTTATCTTTACAACAGTCAGATTAACAAAAGCTGCCATATATGGCCTGGAGCTACACAATCCTAATTTTTCTACCTTTGACAGAATTCAAAATCATTTAAGCGACCTTGTGGAGGATGACTTATTTTCCAGCCTCTTACTCTCTATTTAGACAAGACAAGATGTGGCACAAGGCCAGTTTTAACGTGGGACGTATTGAGCCCGTAGGCTCGGGAAAAAATTGCCCGTAGACCCCGTATAGGTCGGCTTTGTCTAGCTCCCCAAACGAGACTCTGCCTTTCGACATAGCCTTCTCTGGGTTTCTCTCCGCCCGGAGGCAGAGAGTTCGACAAGAGAGGAAGAGGAAGAGAAAGCCTCCTCCTTGTCCTCTTTCTCAGAGACACATAGCAAGCCTATCGCTGTTTCAATGAGAAATGTTCAGATGAGTGCTCTATTCTTCATGTCCACCAGTTCAGACCGTTACAACTAGAATATGTCCACGGAGTCGAATCGCTCGCATTTCCTTAGTATTACATTTGTAAGGAGCAAGTTCTAAAACAGACGCCCGCACGTAACCTCTTCAAGTCCAGGCTCAACTACTGTCTATCCTCCATATCTTCATAACTTTCAATGCCATCTATTTCCTTTTAACCCCATATCACGTACACTACGTTGACTGGTTTTGAGCCTTATATTAGGCGAACTTATTATTAAAAATGGCCTTCAACGCAATCAAATAAAATCTAGGGATTGTACGAACGATCCAGAATGGATCCAGCCCTTTTGAATACCCCGACTGCCAATTCCTCATATTTTATGACAGGTTTTTTGGCAAACATAGCATCAGTTATGCCGGTCAGTTACGCTACAATCGCAATTTGGTCTCTTATGCTTTTTGAAAAGCATTTGAAGTACCGCGGGTGAGATTATGGAAAACGCGAATAAGCAGCTGATGGTGATCCCGAAAGAACAATTTGCAGACTTCTTTGAGACCTGGAAGAGATGCAGCCATAATCGGGTCTGATCCTTGAGGAAGCTTTTTTTTGGAAAGGTCTAAAGCGCCATTTTCCTGAGTAGGCTATATTCCCCATTCCTATGAAATGGCCAGGATCCTTTTCGTACAGACTTGGGAAATCTCAGAGAAAAAAGTTTGATAAAGGTCGAGCTAAAAAAAAATGTTATAAAAATATGAAAGCTCCACAACTATCTTGAAATATGTCAATCTACCTACCATGGATGTTCGATTTGCCCCAAGGCTCAGTCAATTACACATAGATACTGACAATACATTGATTTTGATCTGAATTAGGAAAGACGACACTCTACGTCTATAGTTCCAAATTCTACTACTTGTCCGACTAGATAAAAGGGTTCATTAAGTACATCTTGCTGGTCGTGGTAGCAAATCCCTGCGGCAGTGTGTTAAAGTCATTCATTCTGCTCAGTTTGATCAAAAAACACAAAATAACCAAGACGAATATATTTCTTAACATGGACAGCAAAATGAGAATTGATTGTGAATGAAACGGGAATTTTAGTTCATAGTTGCCTC